CCGCAGATGTCTCTCTACGTTCATGCATCAGTTTCTATACAGAGACCTGGGCTTTTCCGCAGATGTCTCTCTACGTTCATGCATCAGGTTCTATACAGAGACCTGGGCTTTCCACAGGATGTCTCTCTACGTTCATGCATCTGTTCTGGATTTACAGTCCCTCTTTCTCTTGTGGAACAATCAACCTCACAGACGAGATCTTCACGCACCAGAGCAACGTGGAAGACAACTCAGAACATAACAGAGTCAGAACACGGATACACAATCATAGCAGATACACAATCATAGCAGATACACAATCATAGCAGATACACAATCATAGCAGAGTCCATGTGACTTAGAGAAGGCCAGATTTCTTCTCTCGAAGCGAGGATATGGAACCCTTATCTCTAGTTTTTTGTTGATAACACATATTTCTCCGAACAGAAAGAGTCTTTTAAAAGTAACATATTAGCAAACAAGCTAGACGACACCATGCTGCTTTTGTCAGAGCCATGCACGGGCTGAGAGCTGATGGATTGAGTGGGGGGTGGTCCTCTCTGTTTCTCCTTTCTCTCTGAAAAAAATAAAACTGCTGTGACAGAGGGCTAAAGTACATGTGTGAAAAGTGGTGACAGGTGTTTCTCGATGTAAACCAGGAGAGTCCCAGTGACAGGGCCGCTTTAACGACCTGCGCTAGGACTGTAGACACTTTGATTGTACAGAATATATCCTGCACAATCCTTAAAACATGTCTTTTTGCACATCCTGAGTGATACTATTAATTCCAAATGGGACGTGTTCTATTTAGAAGAAGAAGAAGAAGAAGGTCCTTTATTCGTCACACAATGGGGATATTTCAGTTTGATGCATACACACATAGACACACACACACACATCACACACACACACACACAGACACACACACACACATCACACACACATACACATCAAGGCAAGCAGCGAACACCACTTCCGCGCTCCTTAACGGCAAATAGTGCGTTAAGTGTCTTGCCCGAGGACACAACGGCAGCAGACATCAGTGGGAGTTGCTGGAGAAGGTCCCCTATCGTATCCAATCTTAGCTTTTCTGAGATTCCAGAATCTCAGAAAAGATTCACGGAGCGGGGTCCGTGAGTCGGGAGTCACGAGGGACTACTGTGCATGTTTTAGTGCTTTGGGAGAAACCGGAGCACCCTGTGGGAAACAAGGCAGACACGGGGAGAACATGCAAACTCCACATCAAATCAATCCTACTACACAGGAAACTATCAAACTTCACTAAAAATGTCACTCGATGCATTCAGGTTTGTCGACAATAACCAGGTCTTAGTCGTAAAAACAACTGTTTGTGCAAAATACAATATCATTAGCATCTAGCAGCAACAGGAGAACATGCAAATCACTGGTACAAAGTGCAGTACAAAGTTACAGTAGAGTATTTAGCAGCGATATATAAAGTACGACACAGCGGGATCAGATCTTTGGGCAATGAGACCAAATGTAGACTTCTATAGGGATTTTATCTTTACATTCTTTAATGTACGGCCATTACACTGAAAACATTCCTTAAATGTTTTTATGAAAATAATATATGGAAATAAGTAAACTACTGCTTAATGACAAGTTTTTTCTGCTTGAAAGTAGTTTGTCATGGAGGATTTTTAAATTAGTTTTAAGATAATCATTCTTGGGTTTCATCTGAGGGCAGAGAATAACAAACAGGAGAGCAGCTCATGCGCCCCCTACTGGCCAGGTTCATGAAACACACCAGACAATATAACGTTCTGTGATGTTATTACCTTGACAAATATAATCGATGGATCAAAGAAGCAATAGGAATCTGGAAACAGGGCGCAGACATTATGAATTGCGTCGAGGGCGAGAACCAACATACAACCCGTACATGGGACCCACTCTCCCGCGACCTCCACTGGCCGGCAAAGGTCAGCGGCAAAGGTCAGCGGCAAAGGTCAGCCCGGTAAACAGTCGTGAGAAGCGTCCGTCAAAACATGTCAAGGTAATAACAACACAAAACTTTATATTGTCTGGTTTACAAGAATACTTTTAATTCTACTGAGATCTAGAAGAAGAAGATTCTACGAGATGAATCTTCTCAAACTCTGTCGCAGATGTGCTTTGGTGCGAGGTCAAAGGTCAAAGAGAGACTTGTAACAATCAGAGCTGCTTTAAAGTCTTTTACTCTTTGATCATTTTAAAATATTCATACTGTGTTGTGTTTGATTCATGTTTGTAAAAGGAAACATCTGATAAATTAGTAAACAGTATTTTACCAAGTATGTCCACAGTGCGTCGTCATTGTTCAGGGCAGAGAGAAGACACACACACACACACCTGCACACACACACACACACACACACACCCTGCACACACACACACCTGCACCCACACACACACCCTCACACACACACACACCACACACACACACACCTGCACACACACACACACACACGCAAACACACACACACACACACCTGCACACACACACACACACACACAC